ACAAAGATATTATTACCTAATTGTTTCAATGTCTCCGATTGATTTTTTCTTAGTTTTTTTGCAGTAATATTATTCAATAGTGTGTATTGTAGTATATTTATATAATAAAAGTGGTTAATAATCGCTATACTCAAAAGTATGATGTGCATATTAGTGATTCAATTATTATGTTTATGAAACAATGAACAAATAGTTTTGCTGCTATTACACTCTATACACAGGTTATATATAAGTATTGGCATGTTTTGGTCACCATAACGAACCACTAAGTTGGTATTGAGAGTCGAAAAGCAACGAGGAGTTACCGCCACACACCAGCCAGCCACTCGCTGCCACTCCCTCAACACACGCACTAAACTTTCTCCCCCAACAATACCAGTTGTGGTGTTATTACACTATATACAGACGTTATATATAAGTATGTGTATATTTTGTTCACCACAACTGTACAGCTAAGCTGATATAGTTAGTTCAGGCACTAAGAGTCGTCGCTATACACAGATGGCGGCTGGCGGCTCCCTCACTCTTTCAAGGTCACACGCACTAAACTTTCTCCCCCAACAATACCTTTTGCAGTGTTATTACCCTATATACACATATTGTATATAAATATCTACATGTTTTATGCACCGTAACTGTACACCTAAGCTTGTAGTGCACCCAAAGAGCATAGTGGCCACCCTCTAAACAGCTAGACAAATCGTGCAGATGACGTCACCTCCGTCACCCATATGGCTCCTCCCATCCTTTTGCTGTTATTACACTAATACACACATTATATATAAGTATCTACATTTGTGTTCACCATAGAGAACCACTGACCTGGTATGGTGAATGCAAACAATAACAGGTGGCCACACAGTCAGTAAACGATGCTATCTCCCTCCGTCTCTCAGCATCACTCCTCCCACAGCGCTAATTATTACAACAATCCTGCTATTATCACAACCCTGGTTATTTATATCACAGTCATTGGTCATCTGTAATATTGTCATCGCTAAATAATAACAATTATATATTTATTTTGACATTTTTCGGCGATGCTGTGGTCACAAGCTGAACATCAATGCTGTTCGCTCATGCTGCGTGCGCCGGCCTTGGTTGCTCCAACAGTACTGTGCCTCTCACACCTGAGAATATTGCCCACGATTTTCTTTTTAAATGGCATCTGTTTACAAGAGCCCTGAGGAAGCTACTGTGAACCCCGTGTAGCCGCGGGCCATTTGAATCAGGCCTGGCACCCTATGGCGTATATATACGCCATGCGCACCATGGGACATGTTACACAGGGCGTATATATACGCCATGCGCAGTTTAAGGGTTAACAAAGTTTTCGGTTGGGCAGCAGAAAATAACATGATGTTAACGGTGATAAATTCCAAGTACTCAGATACGGCAAAAATGAGGATCTTAAACATAATACAGGGTACAAAACACAATTGAATCTGCCCATAGTAGGAAAACAGCATATCAAGGATTAGGGAATAATGATGTCCGGCGACCTAATGTTTAGGGAGCATAACCAAGCAAGTATTGCGTCAGCCAGAAAAATGATAGGATGGATTACGAGAACCTTCAAGTCCAGAGATCCCATCACATTGATTGTACTCTTCAAATCACTTGTGTTGTCCCGTATTGAGTACTGCTCAGTACTCACTTCCCCCTTCAGAGCAGGAGAGATTGCTGAAATAGAGGGAATACAGAGAACATATATGGCACGCATAGACGAGATAAAGCACCTAAATTATTGGGATCGTCTCAAAGCTCTCCAAATGTACTCACTAGAAAGGAGACGAGAGAGATACCAAATAATATACACATGGAAAATACTGGAGGGACAGGTCTCAAATCTGCACAGTAAAATAACAACGTACTGGAGTGAACGACATGGAAGAAAATACAGAATAGAACAGTGAAGAGCAGAGGTGCCATGGGCACAATCAGAGAACACTGTATGAACATCAGAGGTCCACAGTTGTTAAACGTCCTACCAGTGAGCATCAGAAATATTGCCGGAACAACCATGGACATCTTCAAGTGGAAACTAGATTGTTTTCTTCAAGGAGAGCCGGACCAACCGGGCTGTGATGGGTATATGGGCCTGTGGGCCGCTCCAAGCAACAGCCTGGTGGACCAAACTCTAACAAGTCAGGGGAGAAGAACTCTCAGAACCCCATCAACCAGGTATCAACCAGGGGCAATCGCGTCCAACAGCCTGGTTGACCAGTCCAGCAACGAGGAGGCCTGGTTGATGACCGGGCCATGGGGTCGCTAAGTCCCAGAATCACCTCAAGGTAACCTCAAGGTAAGGTATGGGGTGACGTTGGGTCTCTCCTCCTCCTTAAGGGGTTTCGGTGTTCACGGGTCGTGCCTCTCTTCCTGCGCTCTGTCAGGTCATCTTGGAGTGGGTGCGCTTATGTGTGGTTGAAATGACCTCGTCCATCATTTGGGATTCCCGCCTGTTTCCAGTCCCGAAACTTGACTGTGTGGATCTGAGGTTCCTTGTGGACTTGTCCCATCTGAATCCCCTGGGGTCTTTTGCCCCTCCTTTCGGATGACCACTCTGTTCCAGGTCTGGCTTCTTTTGGAGCCAGTTGCTTGGATGGTGTGTCTGGACCTCTAGGACATGTATTGTCACGTCCTGATTCATCCAGGGGTTCGGGGGACTGACTTGGTTTTGTCATGGGGTGACAAGCTTACTGCTTTCGTTGCCTTCTATTCAGCTTGAATCTGGCACCTCGCATTTTCACACGCCTTACCCGGGTCATGGTGACCCGCTTGCGTCTGTTTCACCTTCAGCCTGCATATGCGCCACCTGAGCTGTCCTGGTCATTGAACTGGGTGCTCTCTCCTTGGTTTGTTGTGACCCCATCGGTTCAGGATTGTTTTGATAAGGCTCTTTTATTTTTGGCATTGGCCTCTGGGGGTTGAGTTGTGGAGCTTCATGCTCTTCTCCAGCACAGGGGTTTCTTCTCTTTCAGTCCTGGTGGTAGGTTTGTTTGTTTGCAGCAGTCACCCTCTTTTCTGGCGAAGAATGAGATGGTGGCATACCGGAGGAGTCCTTGGGTGGTTGATGCTTGGTTGGTTCGGCCGGGGCTGCATGATGTGTTGTGTTTGGTTGCGGCTCTTAGGAGCTATCTGGTTTAGGTTGACCCGGTTTACCGTCTTCCTTGTTCCGAGGCTTGGTTCTCACAAGCAGATGTTTTGCAGATGACACAAAAATCAGCATGAAAATTACCTCTGCTGAAGTCACTGAAAAACTACAAGCAGATATCAATAAAGTTTTCGATTGGGCAGCAGAAAATAACATGATGTTTAACAGTGATAAATTTCAGGTACTCAGGTACGGCAAAAATGAGGATCTGAAACATAATAGAGGGTACAAAACACAATCGAATCTTCCCATAGTAGAAAAACAGCATGTCAAGGATTTGGGAATAATGATGTCCGACGATCTAACGTTTAGGGAGCATAACCAAGCAAATATTGCGTCAGCCAGAAAAATGATCGGATGGATTACGAGAACTTTCAAATCCATGGATCCCATCACAATGGTTGTACTCTTCAAGTCACTTGTGTTGTCCCGTCTCGAGTACTGCTCAGTACTCACTTCCCCCTTCAGAGCAGGAGAGATTGCTGAAATAGAGGGAATACAGAGAACATATACGGCACGCATAGACGAGATAAAACACCTAAATTATTGGGATCGTCTCAAAGCTCTCCAAATGTACTCTCTAGAAAGGAGACGAGAGAGATACCAAATAATTTACACATGGAAAATACTGGAGGGCCAGGTCCTAAATCTACACAGTAAAATAACAATGTACTGGAGTGAACGATATGGAAGAAAATGCAAGATTGAACCAGTGAAGAGCAGAGGTGCCATAGGCACAATCAGAGAGCACTGTATAAACATCAGCGGTCCACGGTTGTTCAACATCCTCCCAGCAACTATTAGAAATATTGCCGGAACAACCGTGGACATCTTCAAGAGAAAACTGGACTGTTTTCTAAGAAGTTCCGGATCAGCCGGGCTGTGGTGGGTATGTGGCCCTGCGGGCCGCTCCAAGCAACAGCCTGGTGGACCAAACTCTCACAAGTCGAGCCTGGCCTCGGGCCGGGCTTGGGGAGTAGAAGAACTCCCAGAACCCCATCATCCAGGTTGTCAACCAGGTATCCCAGGTCGTCCGCAGAGTTATTTGGTCCAGTCAGCCTGCAGTCTATCCTCATGCCCATGACGTTTGCAATTTTGCTGCTTTAGCTGTCGTTTTTGGTAATATATCTTGGGTTGACTTTCGGACATGAGGATTTTGGAGGTTGAACAGGGTCCTGGCCGCTCGTTACCTCGTTAATGTTCCTGGCCCTAGTCGATCGTGTCGCTTTGGGTTGCAGGTTGCAACCAGTTTTTTCGACCTCGACTTGAAGTGCAAGTGGCAGCTGCCTCCTGGGCAAGTCCCTCTTTTATTTTTCTGTGATAATGTAATGAATGTAATGAAACGTCACTCTCTGGGTGAGTCTTGGAGGCGAGTGACCGGCGTGGGGGTCTGGGGCTTCCCCTTCCCCTCCTGGGGAGGGGGAAGCTGCAAAGACAGTGGTGCAACAGTGGTTGTGACATCATGCTTGTTTACTTGTATTTGGATTGCGAGTTCTGTTTGATAGTTCGGTTTTCGGTAGCAGTTTTTAACCAGGTGGTGTTTGTTTTAGCACGCCTACCTTTCTGGGTGCCTAACTTGATCGATGGCTAACATGCAATGTTTCCAACTACATGGGGGTTTCTATAGGTCGTTGCTTATCATGCCTTTCTGAGGGGGGCCAGGTTCTGGCTCGTAGTCCACAGTAAGCATAGAACTCCAATTAAATTGACTGATACCATGGTCTAATACATATATATATCAGCCTGGTAAGCTCCAGGGAGCCTCCAGGACTCACCCAGAATATGGCATTTCATTATATTTAGCCCTGATTTTATTTTTGAATATGAACTTTACATTTTTCGACAGAAGTTAGCGAGGTTGGGTGCAGCAACGAGAACGAGGTACAGCGGTGTGACTCAGAAGCTATAAAGTTAGAACGTGGAGGCTCTAGTGGAACTGGGGGCGCTTACTACCCTGGCCTCCCTCCACAGCATCCCCAGGCTATGGATGACGTGTCTCCTCCCTCTGGTAGTGGTGCATTTTACAGCGGACCGCAACCATATCGCCCTCCTGATGGGTATTATGACCTGCTAGGTGGGTTGGGTGCAGCCAGCCCAGCACAGTATACAACGCCTGGATCTGGATCAGCTTTACCCGCTGGCCCTCCCACACCATCTAAAGTGGAACCACCTAATTATGTCGAGACATCCCACACACCTCTCACCTATGCAGAAGCTGCTGCTCCAATGGATTTTAGTAGTAACCCTCCTGGTTTAGGCTTCAGTAGTGCTCCTTCGGCTGCATATGGAGCTGCTTCAGATTTCACTGATGCCCAAGGTTATTCTCAAACAACAACAAATCCGCTGAGCCTTTTAAGTGATGTTGCATTAGGAGGCGATGCAAGCAGTAGTAGCAGCACACACAGTGGCAGTAGTGAAACAGGTAGTAATAGTAGTAGTAGCAGCAGTAGTAGCAGCAGCTCAGGGTCATCATCATCTAGTGGAAGTAGTGGCTGTGACAGAGGAAACAGTGAACTTCGAAGAAAGCGTGTACATAGTGCAGGGGCGGAAGGTACCCGAGGGAAGACCCAGAGAGGAAGGGTTGAGCCACGCAGAGGTGGGTGGAGTAGTTCTCATCCTCTACAACAGGATGACGATACTGAAGATGAAGAGGGAGAAATGTCTGATGCACGAGGGGTGAGACACAAGGTTGATGATGGGCCCACTGCACCAGACTTGCAGTTGGACTGGGTTTCTTCTTCAGACTCTGATTCCGACACAGACTCGTGTATAGAAGTAGTAAGTGTACAGCGAGGAGCTAGGGACAATCGTGCTGTGGATGTAGTTGATCTGACCAATGAAAGTGATGATGAGGTATTAGTGGCAAGTGCTGGACCACCTTTGCCTCCACCTGTTGGAATATCTCATCCAGCTCCCTCGTCTTCATGTGCTGTAGCTTCTTCCAGCGGGTATGGAATATCTCCAGTATTGGGTAGATTACCTACTGCTACCCATACTGCTACTAGTGCAGTTGGATTATGCCGTGGTCATCATGCTTCTGAACCGAGCCAAGCAACTACTTGCTCATGCCCTCGTGGCCCAACGTTAGGTTCCATAGGCCTTAGTGCCAGTGGTGCTGCCAGCTTCACCATGGATCATCATGGGAACTGTTATGGGGCTTGTTTACATCCCCACCATTCACCTCATCACCACCACCACCACCACCACCACAGTCTGGCACCTAGTCAGGGCCATCACCACCACCACCACCACTATTACCCACCTGAGTCTCCACTTTATTACTCCGCGCTTCCTGCACATCCTTTGTTTCCACCATATCCCCCAACCTCATTGACTTCAACTGCTTCATATCCGACCCATCCATCGCTATCTAGATTAAACCCCATTCACCAAAGGATATGGCATAGTCAGCAGCGGTATCAAGAATTGCAAAGACGTTGCTTGGATCCCCGCCTCCGTGAACCCCTGGCTCAATCGATGGTTAGAGCAGGAACTCTCACGCAAGAAATTGGCCCACTCACCCACGCTGGGGCTGCAGCTACAAGTTTGGCCTCGCACACTTCCCATCAGCCAGTTACTTCCCAGACTTCGACTACCTCCACCAGCAGTGAACAACAGGTCCCACCCCAGACCAGCTCTCCCTCAGCTCCTACACCCATGGACATCCAGTCAACTCCAAATGCTGCTCACTCTGCAACACACATAGCAGCACACCACCTGCACCATCACCCAGGAATGGATGTTCTCATGCATAATGCTCACACTCACAGGTCAGTTTTATTGCTGTCTTTTTCCTACATATTATTTTGTTAATACCATGTGCTTTATAAGGCTGGATATCAATCCTGGAAATACGGTAGACTTCTGATTTTAAGCAGAAATGTGTTCCTTAGAGCCCGGTGTTTAAACACTACAGTATTACATAATGCATAGATATAGGTATCCCCAGTAAGTTATTACCTTCCCCATCCTTCTGTGACTGCTGCTATTATGTCCATGTGGCACTGTGAGTCTTTCAACACTTGTGAATGGTGGTGTAAGGAAGACATAGGAAGTTAATAGGCCATGTAGTCCCAGGATGGCAAATAATAGAATCATTTTCAACGCTTGGTGTACGTGTGTGTATGGTGACCCTGGACAAGGTTTCCAAAGTAAAGTGTAGCTGCAGCACAATTTCTACGTGCATATATGCTCATGTTAGTTTCATCTGCATTTAATACCTACCCTGAGAGTACTGTACAGTACTTTGAAATGGTTCTGAAGATACGTGTCTCCATGGCCTGGTTGGTCTGACCAACTAGGCTGTTAGATGCCACTGCTCACAGTCCTGCTTACAGTCTGATGGATGAATCACAGACCAAATGATCAGTTATCCTTTAGAAGCATATCAAGCTCTCTTTTGAACACACTGAAGGTTGAATAGTTTAGAAAATTAAGTCTTGGGCCCCTTAATGTTAATCGAATTATCTTTTAGTATACTGCACCTAGAAGTTGGCTATCAAGTTTTTTCTATAAGTAATATAATATGTGTGTAAATCACGAAAATTAACACGTGATGAAAAATGTGACATCGTCAGACCACGGAGGAAGAATTGAAACAGGAATTTCATTAAAAAGAAAAAACAGTTAAAACAATTTGGAAAATAGACAAGTGCCATAAAGGTTCGTTTAGTGTTTGACGGGTAGGCTGCTCCATTATAACAATCTTTCTTTGTTTCAAATGTGTTCCATATGTTTTTTATTTTTCATTTAAGTCTATAATAGAGCAGCCTACCCGACAAACACTGAACGAACCTTTATGGCGTTTGTCTATTTTTCAAATTGTTTCAACTATTTTTTTTTATTTTTTTTTTATTTTTTTTTATTTAAGAAACATGGAGCAGCCTACCTGTAGACAACCAAACGAACCTTTTTGACATTTGTTGTATTTCAGAAATTTCATTTCTTTTTTCTACAAAAATGTCAATGCTTTGCAACATCTCAGCAGTCACCCCTTTATATCCCAGCATCATTAGCATCTTTAAACAAGAACAACATAATATATTTGTATTGTCGGAGCCGTCCAAGAATGTGCAAGAAGCAGCGCGACCCCACCATGTGGTGTTGACGTTACTCAAACCAGCGTTCGACATACAAGACAATTTGTCGCGGATCGAGCCTGTCGTTACCCAAAATGTTTGCCTTTTGGGGCGATCGTTATGCGAGGTACCACTGTGTATGTATGTGTGTGTGTATAGTATATATGTGTATATGTATATATATGTATATGTGTATATATATATATATATATATATATATATATATATATATATATATATATATATATATATATATATATATATATATATACATATATACACATATATATACATATATACACATATATACTGTATATATATGTTGTACCTAGTAGCCAGAAGGTAGTACTCGGCCTACTATGCAAGGACCGATTTGTCTAATAAGCCAAGTTTTCCTGAATTTATATATTTTTCAATATTTTTTTCTTATGAAATGATAAAACTATCCATTTCATTATGTATGAGTTAATTTTTTTTAAATTTGAGTTAAAATTAACGTAGATATATGACCGAACCTAACCAACCCTTCCTAACCTAACCTAACCTACCTTAACCTAACCTAAACTAACACAATTCAGTCAATTATTTATGTTCTTAATATAATATAATAATAATAATTCAAATAAGCTAATTGGAAACAATTTATTGACAGTAAAGAAAATCTCTCAGCCTATTAGGCAAATCGGGCCTTGCATAGTAGGCCGAGAAGATATATATATATATATATATATATATATATATATATATATATATATATATATATATATATATATATATATATATATATATATATATATATATATATATATATATATGTCGTACCTAGTAGCCAGAACGCACTTCTCAGCCTACTATGCAATGCCCGATTTGCCTAATAAGCCAAGTTTTCATGAATTAATGTGTTTTCGACTACCTAACCTAACTTTTTCGGCTACCTAACCCAACCTAACCTATAAAGATAGGTTAGGTTAGGTTAGGTGGGGTTGGTTAGGTTCGGTCATATATCTACGTTAATTTTAACTCCAATAAAAAAAAATTGACCTCATGCATGATGAAATGGGTAGCTTTATCATTTCATAAGAAAAAAATTCGAGAAAATATATTATTTCAGGAAAACTTGGCTTATTAGGCAAATCGGGCCTCGCATAGTAGGCTGAGAAGTGCGTTCTGGCTACTAGGTACGACATATATATATATATATATATATATATATATATATATATATATATATATATATATATATATATATATATATATATATATATATATATATATTATATATACATTTACATATATATACAAGAGTTGTTACATTCTTGTACAGCCATTAGTACGTGTAGCATTTCGGGCAAGTCCTTAATCCTATCTTCCCCGTAATACGACCCCGGCGAAGAATCATTTTAACAACCAGGTACCCATTTTACTGTTGGGTTAAACAGAGGCTACAGTTAAGGATTTGTGCCCAGTAAATCCTCCCCGGCCAAGCTATGAACCCAGGACAAAGCGCTCGACAAATATATATATATATATATATATATATATATATATATATATATATATATATATATATATATATATATATATATATATATAATAGGAACATTATCCCCACAAACACAATTCAGAAGATGCAATTAACAATCTACTACAAAAACAAGAAAATGACCAAGCTGCTCATTAAGAATTCTCCAGACACCAAACAGAATGCCTTGAAGGAAAATATTGTCATCTATGCCTTCACATGCCCACTTGGGGACTGTCAGACCCAAAGTTCTCAGTATATAGGCAAGACAACAACGTCTTTTTCCTAGGTGGTTAACAATGCATAAACAGGGCTCCATCAAGGAGTATATAATCTCCACACACAACCAGACCATCACCAGAGACATCTTAACAAGCATCACAGAAATTGTTGTCAGATATGTACAACGATAACAGGAGACTCAACATCAGTGAGGCACTACACATCAAAAAGTCAAAACCAGCAAGCAACAGCCAATTAACACATAATAACATTCTACCCACTTCAAGACCCCGAACCAGCACAGAAGCAAGAGGATAGAATGTATGCCCATGGTTATATGCCCGTTGTATATATCCAATTTATATTCATTGTTTTGTGTTTTGTCTTTTGTTTCCTGTTACCTCGCCCAAAAAATTTGTATCCCATCACCTCACCCAAAGACAAATATAAGCACGATCTGAATAAGTATAAAATGTCTATGAAAATGTGAGAAGTGTTCTTACGAAACACTTCTAGGCGTCGGTTCATAAATAAAAAAGTTAAAATGAACTTTTGGAGAGTATATTTTTCTCCTACCCCCGACAGTGAAGAAAAACATAAGAAATATTGAGAAGCTTCGTGTTAGAATCATTAATCTTACCCTTTCGGTCATATTTAACAAGATATGTTTACAAGACAGACTGCTCCCAAAATAAATAAATATATATATATATATATATATATACATATATATATTTTATTAAATATGACCGAAAAAGTAAGATTAATAATTCTAACACGAATTTTCTCAATCTTTCGTACATTATGCTTCACTGTTGGAGGTAAATCAAAAATCGCTTCTCCAAAATTCATTTTTATTTCTAGTCTGACGCGACACGGGCGCGTTTCGTAAAACTTATTACATTTTCAAAGACTTCACAAATACACAACTGATTAGAACTTGCATTTCCCTGATTTTATATCTACATTTGAGTGAGGTGGGAAGGGTGATGTGGCATTACATTTGAGTGAGGTGGGAAGGATGATGTGGCATTAGAGGATATTAATAGGGTATTAAAAGTATCAACACAAGACAGAACACGAAACAATGGATATTGAATAGAAGTGTTTGTAGAAAGCCTATTGGTCCATATTTCTTGATGCTTCTATATTGGAGCGGAGTCTTGAGGTGGGTAGAATATAGTTGTGCAATAATTGGCTGTTGATTGCTGGTGTTGACTTCTTGATGTGTAGTGCCTCGCAAACGTCAAGCCGCCTGCTATCGCTGTATCTATCGATGATTTCTGTGTTGTTTACTAGGATTTCTCTGGCGATGGTTTGGTTATGGGAAGAGATTATATGTTCCTTAATGGAGCCCTGTTGTTTATGCATCGTTAAACGCCTAGAAAGAGATGTTGTTGTCTTGCCTATATACTGGGTTTTTTGGAGCTTACAGTCCCCAAGTGGGCATTTGAAGGCATAGACGACGTTAGTCTCTTTTAAAGCGTTCTGTTTCGTGTCTGGAGAGTTTCTCATGAGTAGGCTGGCCGTTTTTCTGGTTTTATAGTAAATCGTCAGTTGTATCCTCTGATTTTTGTCTGTAGGGATAACGTTTCTATTAACAATATCTTTCAGGACCCTTTCCTCTGTTTTATGAGCTGTGGAAAAGAAGTTCCTGTAAAATAGTCTAATAGGGGGTATAGGTGTTGTGTTAGTTGTCTCTTCGGAGGTTGCATGGCTTTTCACTTTCCTTCTTATGATGTCTTCGATGAAACCATTGGAGAAGCCGTTATTGACTAGAACCTGCCTTACCCTACAGAGTTCTTCGTCGACTTGCTTCCATTCTGAGCTGTGGCTGAGAGCACGGTCGACGTATGCGTTAACAACACTCCTCTTGTACCTGTCAGGGCAGTCGCTGTTGGCATTTAGGCACATTCCTATGTTTGTTTCCTTTGTGTAGACTGCAGTG